GATAAATGAACCAAAGCCAATAGGAACATTCTTTGTTCAACCTCGATGCAACGCAAAAGTTCCCATTTCTATTAAAAATTATATATAAATTTTCTTAAAATTAATCATATTGATCGTGTTCACAAATTTCTTTTATGTGAGCATGTTAAGTTTTTGGCTGGCTACTGTTAAGACACGGGTATCGTACAAATGAAAACTTAGTAGTGATTCATTATAAGTGATATCTCACAATCTTTATTCACTGTAACGCAACAATGTGACAAAATAAAAGGACGTCAATAATAAGAGTGCGTAAAAAGAAAAACGGCGGGAACGCAAGAACGCACGCAGAGTAGAGAGAGAATATAGTGCGGTAACCTAACCGTGTGAGAGAAAAACATAGAAAAAATAATACTAGAGTGTACATCACACAACCAAGACTGTTCATTTGTCCTCGAGTACATGAAAATGCCTAAAAGTACGCTGGACATTCTCAACACTCTCCCTGTCAGAGTACTTTTATTTCCTGTTTTCACACATCCCTATTGCTTTTAGTAATGTGACAAATTTTTCTTTCGATAAAGCCTTAGTAAGAAAATCCGCATATTGTTCTTCCGATCTGACATACTTTACGCACAATTCGCCTTGAATGAATTTTTCTCTAATGAAATGAAAATGTATGTCTATATGCTTTGTTCTTTGATGAAATTCTGCGTTTTTTACTAGCTTTATTGCACTTTGATTATCTATCAGTAGATCGGTCGCTTTATTACTTGGATTACAAATATCATTTAAAAGTCTTCTGAGCCAGACCAACTCTCTACTCGCCATACTTGCCGCTACATATTCGGCTTCAGTCGTGCTCAAGGAGACCAATTTCTGCCGTTGTGAACACCAAGAGTAGAACGCCTGGTGATTGGATCTCCAGCGTAATCAGCGTCCGAGTAAGCGAGTAGGTCTGCCTTCAAATCAGTTTTTCTATACTTAATTCCTAGTTCAGTAGTTCCAGCAAGATATCGAAATATTCGTTTAATAGCGCTCCAATGTACATGAGTATAACATGTCAGATAACGGCTCAAAACATTTACGGCGAAAGTTATGTCCGGGCGTGTTAATCGTGACAAGAACAGCAATGAGCCAATTGCCTCACGATATGGATACTCTTCGCTTTTGGTTCCTTTGTCACTCATGGTTGAGGCAATTGGATGAGGGTCTATTGGAATACTGACTGGTTTCGCGTCCTTCATATTAAAACGAGCGAGGATTTGCTCAATGTAGTTCTTTTGATGTATGAAAATACTGTGATTTTCCTTATCATGTTTAATTTCGATTCCAATGAATGTTTTTGGTTTACACACAGTAATATCAAAAGTACTTTTAAGTGCTTTTACAACCTCATTAAGCGCATCCTCTGTTTCCGCAAATATTAGACCATCGTCGACGTATAAGCCTAAAAATACAATTACGTTATTAATATGTCTTCTATAAACACAAGAATCAGCAGAGGTTGGTACTAAATTAAATCCCTTTAGAAAAGAACCAAATTTTTCATTCCACTGACGTGAAGATTGTTTCAGGCCGTATAACGATTTCAAGAGTCTACATACATGTTCTTTGTTACCTGATACTACACCCTCTGGAACATCCATATAAATTTCTTCTCTTAATTCGCCATTAAGGAAAGCGGTCTTTACATCAAACTGCGCCATCTGTAGATCATATTCAGCTGCCGTGGCTAGAAGTGTACGGATTGATTCATACCTCATAACAGGAGCAAAAATTTCTTCATAGTCTCTTCCGGCCTTTTGAGTAAAACCTTTTGCACAAAGTCGTGCCTTGCATCGCAAATGACCTTCATCTGATGATTCCTTCACCTTGAAAACCCATCTGTATCCGACGGTCGTTTTATCAGATGGTAGTTCCAGTCTCCAAGTACGATTCTTGATATGAGAGTCAAGTTCCTCTCTGATGGCTTCTTTCCACTTTTCAGCATCTGATCCAGTAATGGCTTCTTCGTAAGTCAACGATTCTATCAATCCAGTGAAATTTGCTTCGTATTTTTCCGGTTTCTTTATTAATGCTCTGTCTCTGAGATTGTGATATGGCTCTTCTTGCTTTGAATTATTGTTGACTTTCTCATGTGATCCTTTTGTTGTCTCTTTATCTTCAGACTTCTTGGTATCTTCTATGTCGGCTTTTCTTCGTTGAGCGTCGTCATTTTTGCCTTCTCTCCCTGGATCTGGAGTGTAGAGAGGTAGAGTCGTTTCATTTTCGCTCGGACTGTCTGCTTGCTCAGATTTCTCATTAAATGTGACATCACGAGATATTCTGATGGTGCCCGTTTCAACATCATAGAGACGATAGTTGGATGATTCTGATTGATATCCGACGAACATTATCTTCTTCGATTTTGCATCCCATTTTCTTCGCCGTTGCGTTGGTATATGGACATAGGCTTCGCATCCAAAAGTTTTGAAATAGTCTACCTTTGCTTGTTTTCCGGTCCACATTTCGAATGGAGTTCGAGCATTTTTGTGATGTAACGGAGTTCGATTATATATATATACGGCCGTGTTCATGGCCTCGGCCCATAATCAAACTGGTAGCTTTTTGGCATGTAACATTGTACGCGCCTTCTCGACGAGAGTTCTATTGTGCCTTTCTGAACAGCCATTCTGCTGTGGCGTGTAAGGAGCTGTCAGTTCCAACTGGATTCCTCGAAATGTTAAGAAGGATCTCATGTTATCGTTGATATTCCTTTCCATTATCCATTCTGATAGCCTTAATTGATCGATTGAATTTGTTTGTCACAAGAGCATGATATTCCTTAAATTTCTCGAAGACGTCCGATTTATGTCGGAGGAAATATATATGTGTAAAACCAGATGCATCATCCTTGAAAATGACATAAAAACGTGATCCTCCTATTGACTCGTTTTGCATGGGTCCGCCCACATCTATGTGGATAAGCTCTCCTGGCACTGTGTCCCTGGAATCCGCGTTCTGGAATGGGCGTCTGTGCTGCTTTTCCAATTGACATGGCTCACAAAATAACTCAGTGTCTTTAGAAATTTGTCCTAGATTTAGGAGTCCTTGCTTGTTCATCTCATGAAGCGACTTTAAACTCACGTGACCGAGCCGTTCATGCCATAAACGTAGATTTGGGGTGACAGCTATGTTCGCTTCAGTTTTACAGATGGTTTGGAACAACATATGATAAAGATTTACACCGTGAGACACTCCGAAGGCCATGGGTATTCCATTTTGACTGATTGTGACGGATGTGGCCTTAAAGACAACTTGATGTCCCTTTTTGGTGCAGGCACCCACAGAGAATAAATTTCTACTGAGAGACGGTACATAAAGTACATTATCAAGTCTTCCGTTTAATCATTGATTGCCGATTTTCCGCTTGATAAGAATCGTTCCATGTCCCTTGACTTGACACATAGTTCCATCGCCTATTGTGACAGAATCGCCATTTTCTTCTTGAAAGTCATGAAACCAGTCGCGGCGAAATGACATATGTTTTGATGCTCCGCTATCGAGTGTCCAAGAATCCTTTGGATCGTTCTCTGCGTCATCTGTCTTTGCTGTGAATGCGCCATATTTTTCGTCCTGTTCTTGTGGTTTGTTAGTCGTAGAGTTCTGAGATCTCATTCTTTTTCGACAGTATTTGAGAACATGACCTTTCTTGTGACAGTAAAAGCATTCTACCTCCTTTTTCTTGTCATCGGATCGTTTAAGATTATCCCTTTTATCGTGAGACTTCTGCGGCTTGCTTATGTTTATGGCTGCTAAAGCACTTGTAGCTTCATCCATTGCTGTCATCCTGCTCTCTTCCTTCAAAAGATGCGTCGTCAGATTTTCTAAGGTCTGTTTGTCTGTATCTGCACTGTCCCAAGCAGTCACAAAAGCATTGTATTTGGAAGGCAAGCTACCAAGAATCTTGGCCATAATAGTTATGTCTGAAATATTCTCATTTAGATCAGTTAATTGTCTAGCCATGTTCTCTACCTTCGCAATATGTTTCGCGACAGAATCATTTGCTGACATTCTATAATCATGGAATTTAGTCATTAAGATTAATTTGCTCGACTCACTGCGTTGTTCATGTAAGACGGTAAGTTTCTTCCACATATCGTTTGACGATTTGCAGGTTAGAAGATGCTCAAGCTGTCCTGGATCCATTGAGGACGATAGGATGAACATCGCTTTTGCATCTTTCTTTATCCAGATTTTCATTGCTGCATCTTCCGTTGGCATTGGTTCGGTGCCAGTTACTATATTCAGGATATCATTCGCCATGAATATTGCATTCATTTGAAATTTCCATGCTTGGAAATTTGCACCACTGAATTTTGTGACGTTCTTAAGATCAATGAATTCACTCATCTTTTTCTCTTTATAATAATGAGCGTCAGAGAGAAAAAAGGAACACACGGTCTTGTATTATACGAAGAATTCGTGCACGTGTTCTGGGCCCATAACTTGTTAAGTTTTTGGCTGGCTACTGTTAAGGCACGGGTATCGTACAAATGAAAACTTAGTAGTGATTCATTATAAATGATATCTCACAATCTTTATTCACTGTAACGCAACAATGTGACAAAATAAAAGGACGTCAATAATAAGAATGCGTAAAAAGAAAAACGGCGGGAACGCAAGAACGCACGCAGAGTAAAGAATATAGTACGGTAACCTAACCGTGTGAGAGAAAAACATAGAAAAAATAATACTAGAGTGTACATCATACAACCAAGACTGTTCATTTGTCCTCGAGTACATGAAAATGCCTAAAAGTACGCTGGACATTCTCAACAGAGCATAACAAGAATACTTTATATTGTAATATATTTAAAATATTAATTTAATTAAAAAATACAATTTGAATAATAGTTCTAAATTAACCATGTCAAGAGAATAAAAAATTGTAAAGATCAATATACGTCAAGAGAATAAAAAGATTGAAAAGATCGATATATAATAATTTTTATACAAACTAACCTGCGTCGAATGATAAAATACACAGCAATCCAGGATCTACAGTCAATGTGACTGTGCTCAGCGTTATATTAATTTTCGTACGTGTTCGACGGTTTATATACATTCACTTAGATGGTAGTGGAAAGTTCTAGAATTATGTAGAGGACGATATTTTAAGTAACGGATAATATGATTCGGGTAACTTTTCCGTGTCATTTTGTTTATTGATACTATGTGTTTGTTTTTCGATGAATATCATTTCCGATGTTAATCTTTTATTGAAAAAGGGTTAAGTATCAAGAATTTATATGTCATCCCAATTAAAATTGTAATCAATATTAACTTGATGTTGTGCTACTACACTGTGGAGACTGCTCGAACTGGCAGTGTTCGATTTATGTTCTTTTACTCTAGTTCTTATTTTTCTTTTCGTTTGCCCAACGTATGAGGATTCACAGCTCAGACAATTGATTTTATAAACTACATTACAAAGTTTCATTTTGTTAAGCTTGTCTTTCCCTGTTTTTATAATAGAATTAAGTTTATTCATTGGTTTGTAAGCGATTTTAAAACAATTTTTTTCAGCAATAGATTTAAACTTTTCTGAAATGATTTTAATGTATGGCATTATAAAATATTTATTAATTGAATTATCAATGTCAAAGTCCTAAACGTTGTTATTATATAAATTCTTTCATCGAGATAGTGGTTTGATTCTTTTGTTAATAGTAATAAAAATTAAGTCTAACGGATAGCCATTATTTAGCAGTGTATTAATCACCGTTTCTATATTTTTATTGTGAAATTCAGGCTGTGAGAGAAGGATAATTCTATCAAGTAGTCCAATTATCACACCTCTTTTATGGTCCAGAGGATGATTCGAATAAAAATTAAGGTAACGTTCCAAAGTCCGTTGGTTTTTTGTAATAGTCAATTTTAATATACCCTTCCTCTACCTTCACAGTAACATCAAGAAAATTTATAGAACCATCATAGTTCTGATCATAAGTGAATTTAACCCTGCCATTATAGGAGTTAAATGCATCTAATATATAATTAATTTTGTTATTCGGAATAGCCAAAATAATATCGTCCACGTATCTATAAAATATTGGAATGTCAATGTTTTTAATTTAGAGAGCACTACTTTTTTTTTTCTAGGTCCTTTATTACTATGTCCGCTAAGATGGGTGATAAAGGAGAACCCATGGGCATGCCAAAAATCTGTTTGAAAAAACAATGTTGAATTTAAAATATGTTGAATTAAAAATTAGCGAGATGGCTTTAAGAAACTCGTTCTTAGGAATATTAGTATTCATTGAGATAGAATTCCATCTCGCATCAATACTTTTAACTACCAGGTCTTCAGGAATGTTACACTGTTAGAAATGTTCTTAAATTTCATTAACTTTTAATGTACTTTGGTGAATGAAGTTTAATTTCTCTGTAACTGAAAGGACTATTAATGTACATGTTAATGAGATTTAAGTTTAACTGAAAAATTAAGTGTAATGAAATTTAATATACTTTTCATTTACGGATATAAATGACATTTAATTAATCGTAATTGAAATAACTATTAATGTACATATTTATGAAATTTAAATTTGCAGTACATTAAATTTACGAATATTAATAATATTTTAATTAAGCCTAATACTATTAACGCTCAACGTTTAATACGTTTACGTTTCTTACATGTCATTAACGTAAATTACTTTTCATTTACAGATCTCGTACTTTTCATTAACATGTAAATTAATTTCTATAATAATGTGTTCATTAATTTCAATACACACGTTCGTCACATTTAGGACTACTGTAATTTAGTTTTTATTTACATCATTCATTACATTTAATTTCGTGCATAACCACATGCTTTCTTTACATGTTAATTAAAATT